TCGTGCATTAGCTAGATCTGATAAAATCCAGAGGTTTGAAGGAAGAGGACCAGGCTTATTCATTAAAAATATTATCCCCATCTATAGGTAACGACATGTCCCATAAAAGCTGGACGGTCGAACTAGTTAGTTGGTAAGAGTGACTAAGAATTACCGGTTTTTAATTTTCAGGTCTTTGTCAGCAGCTGTTTCAGCTGAATCCGTACCTGAAGAAAACAGACACAAGAAAGTAAGCACTAATGATTCTTAATAAACTGAACAACAGAACCGGAATCTCCTATTAAAACGGCGTATCGGGGATTCAGAAATATACAAATAAAATATACTACACCGAACATTCCATGGACTACACCAGGGACCGTAGGAGATTCTTAACCGTGCTAAATAAGGAGTCTCTCCGAAAGAGAAAAAGAACTTAGTGGAGACTTAGGACGCTTGACAAAATATCAGTATCAGAAAGCCTCGAATATTTTTGCTTCTATTCTCAGCAAGTCTAGAACAACGTATGAAGTAAAGCTACTTAAGTCGTCTAGAGAATACCCAAGGGGCCCATACTCGTACGTAAACCAAAGGACTAAGATGACAGGAAGCATACCAGCGTTAGGAAGAGATGGTAGTACTGTATCACTTAGGGAAGATTTTCATGGTAAAGCTCAGATAACTTTAAACTGGTTTAACTTCTTAACCAGAATGCCTGTTACAAGCAGATTTGGTCAATTTTGTTGAAAAAGGGCTCATGTATGACTTCTTGAGCTCCAGTGTCAAAGAAACAATTATCATATTCTGTAACTCAACATTAAGTTCGGTAATTTAATTCTTTTGAATCTCCTCTGTTCATAAAATCATTTGCCTATTCATTATCTTCCTAGTGACTCGTCTTTATTAATCCACATTCGTGGAGGAGTACAGTTAGTCTTCTAATACAGAAGAAGAATGGTCTGAGTAATCCAAATATATTATCTGTTGAGTTGGGACTCAGCTATCAAGGTGAATATTTTCTGTTCTCCTCCTCCACACTTTTTTTCTTTCTTTTTTTCAGTAACTCACCTTACGCCTTAAATACTAACCTCGATATTACTGAAGACCTGGTTGCTTTGCTAAAGAGGTTGTCAGATTACTGTCTAGCGAATCTGAACCAGAAGATCTTTGCACATTCATCTCATCGATTCTTGTTATATACAGACCTGCATTTACCTTGCGTTGGTTCTCAGCCATCACTGGTTCATCTCAACCCAAATAATTTAAGTCGTGTCAAAAATTGTCTTGTACGTTCCAGAGTCTGGAAGATCATTTACAATTTTTTGTGAAAAAACTGGCCCTCTGTAAAAAGCCAGTGTTTCCTGTGAAAATTTTTATCTAATTGAACAACCTTTTACAGAAAACATTTTGGTAATTTTAAAAATTTGATCTGACCTGGAAATTGACATGTCTCTTGCAACACGCTGTCATTTGCGAATAAATAATTATTATTAACTCGAATTGTGGCACGTGATGAATCAGATATATGCGAATGATCGAGTTTGCGATGAAATATATCTCCCCTAAGTCTCCATATATCATACTTAGGTGGCGGTTGTAATTGGATGCGAAATACGGATTCGTTTAGATGAGTTTATTTCAAGCAACCCTTCATACATTCATTGAAGCATGAGAATGAAATGCATACAAGGGAGGAGAAGCGAGGAAGGAGGGGGGACAATTCCTTGAGATGATGCATGACCGAGCATTTATAGTCCGACAAAAATAACTTAAGTGAGCAGGATTTGCTCACATAAATAAAAATAACCAAAGTATGTGCAGTTAATCGACAAGGTCGAAGGACATGTGAATAGTAACTCTGGAAGAATGAACTGATTAAACTTTCTAAAGGCTCAGAAAAGCCCTGAAGCTATGCCAGCTCCTCTGTTTGTTCTAACGTTACCCATAGTCCGGTGAAACGAATGTGAGGGAATTTTCGTATTCAGAATATGAAATAAAACCCAGCAGTTCATCGGTCTTGTCTGACGAAGTTTACCGATGATAACCAAAAGTTTCAACGCATCTTGATGAAGGTTGAATAGTTTAATCATATTTTTTGTTTGAGAATAAATTATTATTATGGCGCTCCTAAAGAAACTGATGAACTCCTAGTCAAGGAATAACAATCCAATCATTCTCACTGTATAACTCTTCTATTGAATGACTCCTGAATCGAGTATGACCCATATTTTGAAGAGTTTGAAACTCTGGAAAGCAAAGCGATTCTGAAACTTATGAATCCAGACGAATCTGGCTGCTTAATAGTAGCAAACCTTGGTGTGGTTCTGTAAGAGCCATTTGTCTGTAAAACAGAGATGGTCGTCAAAGAATAAACAGGGAGAAAAGATGTAGGCAACGCCCGGTCACAGACTAATATTCTTTCTAGAGAGAGTAATGAAGATCATAAAAAGGGTCTTTAATAAGTTCCTCCTTCACTAAGCTTGGAGCATATTCATTCAGTCTGAATTACAGTCTGTTTTCCTGCCACGCATTTGTTGTTAAATTATTTGTATGGGCTGTCAGTTTCCAGAAAGAATATAGTAACAATAATAATTATTATTTCTATGGAAGAGTTGGAGAGCACTTATTCATATACAGATTTTCATTTTCTGCTTTGGTCAGATGTGCCTGACTCGCTTTTGTTGTTATTGCTAATATTCTCTACCACTAGATTTATTCTCTCTTGCTTATTACTATCTGCCTCCCATTTTATCACTAGACGTATGTCTTCTCAATCTGCAGTACAAGTTAGTTAACTTGACTTATCTTTTTGGTTCCTGGGACATTCTTCTTCCATCAAGCATTAGTTTTCTTTCGTTATTCTTAACAGTGCAACTAACATACAAACGTCCTGTTAATTTGACGGCTGCTGGTATTCAGAAACCCTTTTGTTCTGGGACAAATAAACTCATTCAGTGTCAACCTAGTTAATAAGAATAGTAGTAGAATAGACCCACATCTGTTTATCCTTGCAAATTCTCCAGTGAAGATCTAGCTTATTGAAAGTCAATTCTGATGGGGCTGATAACACTGGTTCGTGTGAGCTCTCCCAGTCATCGACTATTTGATGTGAAAAACGAAGTGCCACTTTTAGTTCATTGGATTACTATCTTTGAACTTTCTTGTAATGGTCTCTTAATTGACTAGTTCTGGAGGAGACTCAGACTTAAGATATATTCACGTCTAGATTGTTATCCAAGATATGGAATGCCAAAATGAGATCACTTAGCTCCTTATAATAAGGTGATGAGGATAGATTTAGGTGCTCACCGTAAGGGGATTTGAAAAGACCCACCATAAACTTAGTTCCTACATTCTGAAAATGCTCAAACGTGAAAGTGTCCTAAGTCGTGCACGATACGACTGTGAGACTGCAATACTCTAGGTGGGGTCTCATATATAGTGGGGTTCAGAGCACAAAACATATTCTCCCCTAAGCATTCGAACACCTGCTGATGTTACTATAACATCCGAAAACCTCTTGGGGTAGCTGCTTTGCGATGTGCAATTATTTTATGTCATACCTTATTACTCCTATTGTTGTTTCAAGCATGGTATTTGTGTTCTGTTGACAGCATATTGGTAACTAATGCCACATCCGACGTGTATTAGCACACTATTTCAAGAATTACTGTCTAAGATCTTTCTATGAGAATATTTACGTAATTCATCCAGGTAAGCATATAGATCAAGATTATCAGTCTCACTACTTCTTGTTACTCAAATTTTGACATCATCTACAAATAATGGTGTTGACGAATTATGCAGTTTCAGTAGCCCATCCGCTTAAAGATGAGACAAATAGGGGACTAAAGATGATTCCTTGGGGTTCACCATTTTTACCGGTTTTCTATTGCACTGTGTCCTATATACTTTCACCTTCTGTCCTCTAGCATAGAAGTTTTCTATCCACTAGTGTACTGCACCTGTTATTCCAAAGCTTAGGATCCTCTGCGAAAACATAAAATGAGAAGCTCTACTAGCCGTTTTGCTAAAATTTGTGGATATTTCGTTGACAGACAACCCGTTATCCTAAGTTGATATACTATCCCCTCTCGCAGTTGGTCAGTTACTTAGACATGAGTGCTTATTCCAAAACACATATTGCTCAACAGTTAACAGATAGTATAGTAACTTAGTCTGGAATATTTTTCAGCTATGGTGGTCATGGTGACAAGTCAGTAGTTGGATAGGTTTTGTCGCTTGCTATATTGAAATATTGGCCGATTACAGTATCCTCTTAATCCCTAAGAATTCGATCTTAGGAAAGAGACATGGTATCGCAAGTGGTTCTACAATAGTCTCCGCGAGGGATGACAACAATCGTGGTTGTAAGCCATCCGGACCCGGTGACTTATTAGGTTTGAGGTTAAAGAGCGATTGAAGAGTAGCTCATTTAGCCATATATATAATTGGAAAGATGCTTATAAAGAAGAACTCACTAAAATGGTTTGGTAAATTTTCAGCACTGCTCTATACTGATTCAGATAGTGCATATGAATTCTCATGGAACAATAAACTAGGAATCCTGTCACTGCATTACCGTTTAAGTCGCAAAAACTATGATCGTAGGAAAGTACGGCTATCGTATCCCATCTGTCTTTCGTAAGTGGTACGGCTTCCTGATATGGTCCTTTGATGTATATTCCGAATTTTCCAGTATTCCTACTCGTCGACAAGAACATATTCCACAAGTGTTTCGTACACCGCATCGATTTCTGAGTTTTCCCCTCAATTGAAGAAGGACATTTTGTGTGGCTGCAAGATAAAAGAGTTCATAGATAACTGCCAAATGATTCGAGTAAGCTCAGTCGAGTGGCTAGACTACATGGGACCGTTCCCACAGCGAAAAGAAACTAGCCAGTTTATACTAGATTTTCACACGATATGGGGTATTACCTACTTCTTCGTAACCAATATAACTCTCAAACTACACAAATAGAGATCATTAGACTCGAATTGTCAACTGGTTCGACCTTAAGTTTTTGAGGGCGGATGTTTTGATACCATCGTTACGCGATGGTTTCGACTGATGGCAAAGCTACCATTCTGAATTACGTCAGGAATTGCTTTGCTTCAGGAGATGACTCAGGATTCTGCGAAAGATTAATTGGAAAAGTTGAAAATGTTACAGATGAAGAAATTGAGAGGATTTTAAGCGGGCAATAGTAAGTCTTGATATCTTACTTTCCGATAATGTTACATATATTACCAGTTTTAACGAAGTTGTAAACACAGAATCCGATTATTTTTATAGGCATTCTCCAGAATATGCTTTTGTGCCTTGTGAAGGTGAATCTAATGGCCATTTTTATTCTAATCTGCAGATCCGTTAAACTTGTTTTACTCCATTAATAACTTCGAGAACTCTCAGCAGTCGTCTCTTTCGCATAAAAAGAATGCATCCACTGTCCAGCAACTTTCTGGTAAGTTTTTTTACTATCATTAGATTTGATAGGCTTCATCGTTATAGTCTAAACAAACTTAAGAAATTTTGTCATACACCTAAACAGTGAAACGAAGCGTGTAAGAAGTAAGAAAATAAGCAGCTGTCATGTGAATTTTTCATAAAACGGATAAGAAATAGAGATCTGACTTACAACTCATACATTTTATCATATTTAAGTAGAAAAATTAACAACAGACGTCTCAATACGAAGAACTATATACTCAGACAACTCAAGCCAAACAGAAATTTGGAAAGCATGTTATGAGACTGCGAATTGTATCTTGTCCCGGTCTAATAATTTATTAACCCTCAACATAGTTTTAGTTTACTTACATATATACTAAATAAGTTAAAAATTTAATCTTTCTTCAAACTTAAATTCTAAGGAGACTAATTAACTGGATCTGCAAGCAGCTCTGCTTACCATCCCGACCGAAGCTGCTACCCGACCGTAGCTGCTACCTTGACGTGGTGGTCGGGCTTGCCTATCGTGATGACCCAACCGAGCTATACTGGCTGGAACATATGTTCCTGCAGGTCCTACCATGCCAGGCATGGTCGATTGGAGAACGATGAGACTAAAAGCAGCTACCCAAGGTCTGAGGGCGAAGTCGTACTGCTGACTGCAGAGGGGTGTGACAGCAGTAAGGTGTTTCCCTCGGACAACCAGCATCTGCAGCGATGCTGCCTTCTCACAAGGAAGGAAGGGTTAGAAAAGGTCGGCCCTAAAAATGTCACACCTCCCCTAACTCACGGATTTCCGTCTCCTTGGGTAAGGGTGCCCACTAAGGGCCTTTAAGAACGGAGCTAATCCTCAAAAAACATTCTCATAAAAAGGCCGTGCGTGACCGGCCTCAAGCAGTTGTCCCTTGGGCTCTGCGGTCACGCACCAACACTAATCTATCTTCCTTTTCAGGTTCCTCAAGAAACAACCTTCCACGGTGTGGGCAGCCGGGAAGTGACAACCGCCCTCATACCCATAACAGCACGCGAGACCAAATTGGTCAAAATCAAATCCTTCCTACACCCCCTAATGTCTCTTTTATCTCCACGACTAACTCTTCTCACATTCATTCATCACAGTGCACAGCTAATGCAGACGATACGAGATCACGAAACGTCGTTCCTGGTCTCTTGAAACCCCGTTCTAGACTACATAGTTGGAGCATTTAATGTACGGACATTGTGTCAAATAGGGCAACAGGCATCATTAGCTAGGACTTTAGAATCTCGTGCCATCGATGTATGCTGCGTCTCGGAAACGCGCATACAGGATCCTAGTAAAGTCATTAACCTGATTCCACCTTGTCAAAACGAAGAAGCAGCTCGATTTACTCTTCGTGTATCCGGTAGCCCTGATGCTGCTTCCCGGGGTCTTGCTGGCGTAGGCATAGCATTGAGTCGTAGGGCAGAACAATCTCTCCTTGACTGGATCCCAATAGATAGTCGATTGTGCGCTGTCCGACTAAACGGGACAGTAAGGACTCGGAAAGATAGGGACAATCGCCGTTGCCTCTTCATCGTATCTGCCTATGCCCCCACTGAATGCAGTTCAGACGAGGTTAAGGATGAGTTTTACAGAAAGCTTTCGGATCTCCTCCAAAAAGCTAGGCGCTCTGATATAGTAATAATGGCTGGTGACTTTAATGCTCAAGTAGGTAGACTAAGTGAGCAGGAGAGACACCTAGGTGGATGTTATGGTGTCGCGGCTCAGAGAACAGACAATGGTGACCGTCTGTTGCAAACATGCTCAGACAACCGCCTATTCTTAGCATACACTAACTTTAGGCATAAGGAAAAGCATCTGTTGACCTGGCGACCTCCAAAGTCGTCTCAACGTTGGACTCAACTAGATCACATCGCCATCAGCCACCGATGGAGGGGTTCGATAGAGGACTGTCGCTCGTTCTGGAGCACATGTTTGGATTCAGATCATGCCCTAGTACGAGCTCGTATCTGTTTGAAGCTTACTGGACGTAGGAAAGACACCGTAAGAAAGCCTCTCAGGGTTTTACTTAATGATAATAAACCAGAGAAAATATTTCAGGAACAACTAGAAAGAGAGTTAGGCAACCATTCAAGCGATTCCCATCCAGAAGCAGGTTGGAATGATATCAAAAAGGCTGTGGAAACAGCAGTGATATCTGCTAGGAAGGTTAACCATGAGGCTAGAATGAAGCCGTGGATCTCAGTCGCATCCACCGATCTGATGGATGCTCGAAAACGCATCCCACCTGGCTCTGAGCATGATGAAGAACGAAGTCAACTTAGGCGCAGACTTATGAAAAGCCTACGTAACGATCGCGAGCAGTGGTGGGTGGCGAAAGCAAAAGCGATGGAAAAGGCAGCGGCGATCGGCAACAGTAGACAACTTTTCCGCCTTATTAAAGAAACTGGTATTAAGAACCCGAATGTGAGTGAGACTATCTCGGAAAAGGATGGTCTTATTATCCATTCTCAATCCAGGAGACTGGATCGATGGGCAGAACACTTTAGGGATCAGTTCAACTGGCCACGAGCCACTCTTCGGTTACCCACGATCTCCAGTCATCCTGAATGGCAAATCGACCTAAGTCCCCCTAGTCTTAATGACGTTGAGAAAGCGTTAGGAAATCTGAAACGAGGACGAGCTGCAGGTCCTGATAGACTTACCCCTGAGATATTTAAGGATGGAGGTCCAGTTTTATCAGCTAGGTTGACTGAGATTTTAGGTAGAATCTGGGAACTGGACGTAATCCCACCCGACTGGTCTCAATCCTTGATTGTCCCAATCTATAAGAAAGGACAAAAGTCTTCTTGTGACAATCACAGGGGAATAAGCCTAACTAACATAGTATCTAAAATATTGGCCTCAATAATACTTCGACGCTTAACGAAAGCTCGTGAAGAGCAAACTCGAGAAAACCAATCTGGTTTTCGACCTGGACGTGGCTGTATAGACCACATTTTCACACTCAGACAGGTCCTGGAACACAGACACACATTTAGGCGTCCTACAATAGTTGTTTTCCTGGACCTTAAGGCGGCATTTGACTCAGTGGATCGTGAGGTTCTGTGGCAGTGTCTGTCATTGAAAGGTGTACCAAAGAAGTACATTAAACTTATACAAGCCCTTTACTCGAACACCACTGGTCGAGTAAGGGCTTATGGCGAACTGTCACCGGAATTCTCTACATCAAGTGGTGTCCGTCAGGGATGTCCACTTTCTCCATTCTTGTTTAATTTTATCATAGACATGCTCCTAGAACTTACCTTATCCTCGTCTGAATTTTCAGGAGTAGACCTTTTACCAGGTGGCTCGCTTATTGACTTAGAATATGCCGATGACATAGTCCTACTTGGTGAAGACGCTGACAAAATGCAGAGTCTTCTGACTACCCTAAGCAACAATGCAAGCATGTTCGGGATGCGGTTTTCCCCCTCGAAATGCAAAATGTTGCTTCAAGATTGTGTGTCATCGGCACCTGAACTAGTGATAGGGAGTGAAGTGGTCGAACGTGTAGACCGCTTCACCTATCTTGGTAGTCTCATCAGTGCTGATGGCCTGGTGACTGACGAAATCTCGGCACGGATACAGAAGGCTCGATTGGCTTTTGCCAACCTGCGTCACTTATGGCGTAGACGAGTGGACTTAGCCATGTCGGTAATTGTCGACTACCTGGTTGGGGTCCACGAGATGATAATAATCGACGGTTAGAGACCTTGAATGACATGGCTCAAAATCGTTCGCAATGGCGCCGGTGCATTTATTCTTTGTGTTATCTCAAATCCTAATCTTCTGAGTTCTTCAACACCTCTAGCTTTTACTTTCTAAACTTATCTCATTGAATCATACTTCGTGAATAATATATTCTTATTCTAACGTCTACGATTACTTCTAATACCTCTACTACCTCTTCTACTATTGGATTTGAATTGACAATTATATCTCTGTGCTGATGTGGTATGGCGACATGAACTGATGTACTTACGTACGAAGTTCTACGTTGCAACTGACTGACTGACTGACTGACATCTACCACAATGAGATTTGAGTCGACAATTACGTCTCTGTACTAATGTGGTGTAGCAATTTGAACTGATATACGAACCTACGAAGTTCTATGTTGTCGCAGACACTGAATAATATTTCGAAAAACAGAAAGATAAGGTGATGGGGAATTTAGATGATTAAAGTTTGGGAGAACAAAAAAAATGGGTACACCTGTGCCGTTGCGAACGATTTTAGGCCATATAGTACAAAGTCTCTAACCATCTGTTACTATCGTCTCGTGGATCCCAACCCGGTAGTTTACTACACCTACCAACATGGCTCATTCCGTTGGTCAATGACATCATGGATTTGTGCCATGTTTTGGTTTAGCTGCCCCCTAGCTTTCTTCCGGCCTACTCCTACACCACAAAGCACAGCTCGTCCGGGCAGTCGGTGATGGTTGGGCATGCCTCAACTGATGGATTTTAACCACTTCATCTATTGATTTACCGGCCTTACTTAGCACTCGTTTCCTAACAACAACTGCATTGCTCACTCCGCTATCCCACGATATACGAGCAATGCTTCAAAGACACTTATTTACGATCAAAAACCATTAACCGACAAATATCCTCTACTCTTACTGGCCATGTTTCACAGTCGTATAGTAAAACAGAGAGAAGTGCTGTGCAGTAAGTAGACTCATCCTTTGGTTAGCAAACGGATATTTCACCTATCCCATAAAGTGTGCATTTTGAAATTGTTTATAGGTGTCATTTTCTTCTTTCTACGTTAATTATTATTATTATTATTATTATTATTATTATTATTATTATTAATTAGCTAATCGGTTTACGTAACAAATACTATCCAATTGAAGTGGATAATAATCTTCCGGAACATGAAAAAATCCCATATATGCTAGAATGGTGGGAATTATCACATGAAGTAATTGTTGACTGTGGTATAGAAAAACATACATTGGAAAAAACGGTGAAAGATTC